GAACAATTCTGTAATCTCACATGATAGATAACACTAAATATCATTACAAGTTACTCACTGAGAACAATTCTGTAATCTCACATGATGGATAACACTAAATATCATTACAAGTTACTCACTGAGAACAATTCTGTAATCTCACATAATGGATAATACTAAATATCATTACAAGTTACTCACTGAGAACAATTCTGTAATCTCACATAATGGATAATACTAAATATCATTACAAGTTACTCATTGAGAACAATTCTGTAATCTCACATAATGGCTAATACTTAATATCATTACAAGTTACTCACTGAGAACAATTCTGTAATCTCACATAATGGCTAACACTAAATATCATTACTAGTTACTCACTGAGAACAAGTTTGTAATCTCACATAATGGATAATACTAAATATCATTACAAGTTACTCACTGAGAACAATTCTGTAATCTCACATAATGGATAATACTAAATATCATTACAAGTTACTCATTGAGAACAATTCTGTAATCTCACATAATGGATAACACTAAATATCATTACAAGTTACTCACTGAGAACAATTCTGTAATCTCACATGATGGATAACACAAAATATCATTACAAGTTACTCACCAAGAACATTTCTGTAATCTCAGATGATGGATAACACTAAGCATGGTTTGTACAGATGCTTTACACATATAAATAGGTGTGGGTGTTCCAAATCCTTCAAAAAAAAAAGTTATTTCCCACCATGTCTAAACTTTGTTTCCTGGACATTACTCATGACTTAACTAAATAAAAATGCAGTAAATATTGCATGCATATCATAATGAAAAAACTGCTCATTTCTAATCTTGTGCTTAAGGTGCTTTAAAAGAATTGATCACTCAAGTAATGACACAAACTACGAGATGTACATGAAATTAATAATTATAGTATGACAGAGGTTTCATTAGCAAAATATGACACTTATTTCATTATAACGGCATGTAAAATGCTTATTAAATTTTTCTCAAAGGTAAAGAAATAATTACAAAAGGGTCAATACCTTTTACTGAGAAAACAAATTCCAGCCACAACTTCAGTTTTGCATAATTTATATTCATGAAGAAATATCCAACAACTATTGCAAAACTTTTGAAATAGTATATCACATTGCAGCTTTGGTTTACAACAGCAGTAGTGCTCCATTCATTATGCCATCCATTTGTGTGTTAAAACAGGTTTATTTGATACACTCATTAGATACAAATAGAATAATCTGAGAGGACTATTAACCCTTTCCAGCTTGGTGGTAGTTTATTGCAATTCTTTAATTGAATGAATAAAAACTAACCTACTCACTACAGGCATCCTTTTGTGCACATCACAAGGTTTTACAGAGGTATAATAAAATTCAATTAAACTACTTTCTTACCATGTTATACGAATAAACTTATTATACAAACATAGCTAATAATTTAAATTCTAATATTATATATGTTTAAGGTTCTAAATTTTATAAGGTGATATTTTAAAAAAATCCTGAATTTCCCCTAGTATGAGAATTCTGACATTTGTTCTCTATGCATCCCCTCTTCTATAATTTATTTACCACCCTTCCAAGAAATAATTTTTATAGTTTTCAATCTTATTTGGTTACAGAGCCATAAAATAGAAAATCAGACCCTCTCTTTCACAAATTGTGAATAGTTCTTTCTGATGTTTAATACTATATTTTTTATAGCCAATAGAAAGCAAGGTTTTAATCTAGCATATGACATATTAAATTACATTATCTATTTCACATCTTGTTGAAACTTTATTCCCAAAGGAAACACATTGACAAGTGTAACTGAATTTTTAACAGTGTTCTTTGATGCATTATCTAATTAAATGAAAAATTATTTAGTGCAGTAGTACTATTAGTAGAACAAAGTAGGGTTAAGTTTCATCGACAGTTAGACAGCAAAAAAAAAAAAGAAGAAAGAAAGAAGACATATATAAGCCCTATATTTCTTGTGTATTCTTTATTTATTATTATAAAAGTAACTAATGTAAAAATTAGAAACTTAATTACAAAATGAATAGTAATAATTTTTGATGAGGTGTTCTTGCAAGCAACTTGGAAGTAGCCTGTGTATAACATAATTCAATAGGGTAATGTGAGTTACTTGCTTGCCAATTACTGAAACTCCTGGTAGGAGCAATGAAAGAAATATTTTCTTCCCTTCTTATTTATGATAACAATCACTCTTTAACAGCTTACAAATTTACACAAACTCAATAGTTTTTAAGTAATGATGTAGGACTATTTCATTTACAGAAGATTTTGCAAAATCCAAGGAAGCATCTATTTTATTTCATGAACTTTCAGAAATGTTTTTTGTCAAAAATTATCGATTAATATCTCTTAGCCTTCATTAGCTAATACATATCAGAATCCAACTTGGACCTAGGAATTTACAATGCAAAATAAATGATTAGTGTCATCCAGCATTTTTTCCAATTCTCAGCTTTTATGAGAGCTTTGCATGAAAAATAGTTGATTCTTTTTTGCATTATATTTTAAACCATGAAGTTATTCTGAACCATCTGAATTTATAATGTATTGACATCTTTATAAGACTTCTTGGTGATAAAATCTGTACCTGAGATCCAACATTTGAAGATATATAATATATATTACTGGCCTGCTATGAATTATGTAGCTTGAAAAATCAGATATGCTTCATTGCAATAACTACTGATTAGAAATCATTTTTGAATGTCTTGTCTGTTATAGCTATTAGAGAATGATGCAAACTCTGTTTGGGGATTTAAGTGTTTCCATGAGATTGTTTCACTATGCATATTAAAAAGCAAGGTTGCTCTGTAGCTGCTACATAAGCTCAAGTCCCTGAACACACTTTTCTTTTACTCTACAAGAGCAGCTACAGTCTAACATGTAGCAGGAAAAGATTTTAATGAACTTAAGGTGTTTTTGAATCCTATCATAATAGCTTCTGTGGAATTTTTGGAATGTTTTTATTATTTTTTATAATGGTATGCTTCAGCTTCCCTAACTAAAGGTAATATTATAAGTGTATGAGTGCCATCTGCCAATTCATCAACCACAAGTCTCAAAACCGCAGCAAGTCATTTGGGTTTGCCATTTCATTACCTAACTCATAATAGTCAATAGGAATCCATTAAACACCATCACTGAAGCAAAAATGTAGCAACATCGTTCTCTATTGTTGAATGCAATCATTCTACCCCTCTAATCACACTTGGTAAAACTAGGATTTATTGGTCAGTTAAGACTGCTAGAGATATTTGTGCCACTGTATAATTCAAGTTTTCTTAAGTTGAAGATGTAGTCTAATCGTTATTTTATGGAGACTGACAGTGACTGCAAATCTGTTGTAAAAATGAAATGATATTTTGAAGACTCACACATGCATGAGGGTTTTACTTCAGTTGTCACTATGATGCTGAATTAGCAAAAAATGAGTCGACACACACACACACAATTAACAACCATTGATAAACACCTCAACAATCACTAACTAAAACCTATTATTTAACTAACCTGTTTGTACAAATGGTGTGGTACAGCGACTTCCAGCTTGCAAACTCTTAGAACAATGTTTCTCAAAGAAACCAGAAATTTGTCGAGAGAGTACTTCTTGAAAGCATTCATTTCCCTGAAGCAAAATTATGTGTACAACGTAAGGCAATAGTTCTTTGCATACATCAGCCTGCAATAAAAACAATGTATATAAAGTGCATCATTATCTCAAAATAAGTAAACAGGTCTCACTGAATGTATATTTAAAATTGTTTACAAGTTAAAACTGAAAATAAACTTGTTTATAAAAAAGAAAAAAAAAGAATACTTTATTTTCGTTTTTTCAGTAATGACAACATCACTCAAATAAGAACATTTTTCACTAACAAAGTCAAATGAACAAATTTAAAAAATTCAGTACAAAAGATGCCTGAAAATTAAAAAAAAAGTGTGAAAATGTAGATCACTTTAACAACACATAATAATTACTTCCAAACTGTAATCATTTCAAGTCATAACTGCTAAAAAATTCATTTGGATGTATAAGAGCACCTTGTTTTTATTTAATGTTTATGATCGTTATTTTGTTTAACCCTCTCGTTATAAGTAAGTCAAAGTAAGCATGTCACAACTTTATAGTTACATTTCAAATATAAAATACTATATTATCATTGTATACAAATAAACTTAGCATCAAAATATAGTTAATAAATGAAATTTTACTACAAGTTTTAAATTCTTAATTTTATAAGGAAATATACAAAAAAAATCCTCAACCTCCCCAAGTATAAGAATTGTGATATTTGTTCTCTAGGTCTTCCCTCTTTTCTAATTTATTTACCACCTTTCCAAGAAGCAATGAATTTAATGCAATTTATTCGTTATAATATAGATATTACTCAGGCAAAGCATAATATTTATAGCCTTCAATTTTATTTGCTTACGGAGCCAATCAGACCCCACTTGCCACAGCCACCTGTCACATCCTCTCTTTCACAAATTGCCAATAGCTCTCTCTGACATTTTATTCTGTATTATCTATAACCAACAGAAAGCCAAAGTTTACTCTATCAAATGACATATTATATTACACAAGTTGAAATGCCTATCAACTGACTGGGAATGTTTAAACTTAATTAAAACAATGTAAGTTTAAAAGCAATTATATATTTCAAAGTAATAACTTGGACATAAACTTTATCTCAAAACTTTAAAATTATAACAAAGCTTCTTCATAAACAACATTTGCAGTTTGCTTTCCATCAACCAACAAATAAAGATTTTGAGGTGATCCCACCCTTGAACACCCTACATTTTATTGACCATTAGAAAAGCATGGTTGTTTGAGAAACAATCCAGCAACTTTCATACTTTGACCGTGAATCCCTTTAGAATATTCAACAATGTCTAGAGTGTCAACCTACCAAGATTGTTTGAGATTGACTCAATATGCTGGGAGTAGTATATCAACAGGCTTTATAAAATAGAAATAGGGTTAAGTTAAATTTTGACTCCTTAGGATGTTCCCCATAGTTCATAGTGTTTATATACAAATTTTGGTTGAGATTGGCCCAAAAGATTCGAAGGAGATAGGGTGCAAACAAACACACATTTCATCTTTATATATATATATATATATAAATTACTGAAAAAAATATAGAGGGGTCTGATT